ATCCCGTAAAGTGGCTTTGAGTCTTTTACTATTTTTTAGTTTTCTCTTACACTTGAACTTCTTTGTGGTTTCTTTGTATTTATATTATACAAATTGATTTAGAATAGTGCGGTTTTCGGCTTTTGAAATAAACTTATACGAAACATGTTATGACAACTGACAGCCTAAGCTAAAATAATTTGAACTTTATTGACGTTAGAGTTGACTGCCAGTTCGTTTGAATTTCAAATGACGAACACTCAATTTAATTGCGCGGGATGTCCACATCGAATAAAACCTTACTTTGCAGAATGTCCGGCAGTAAACATGGGATGCAGGAATTACGTTATGTAACTCCAGCACTCACTTGATTCATTTATTTTCTTATATGTTGCGAAGTTGCTTACATTTATTAATTTTTAACGATTCATTCTTTTTATAATTTTTTTTAATATTGATTACATTTACAACAAATGTAATTAACTATACAAGGTGATGAATGAGATGAATAAGAATTTAATTTATTTCAAGTTTTTTTGTCCGACTGTGTCAGGGGGGATTTTTCGTGTGTACATTATGATTTTTTTAATGAGTGAGGTGTCACTCGAGTCGTATAAACATCCTGTGAGTGTTGAATCATTTCCATGGGTTTCTTAGACCAAAAATTTGTGTAGGTATAAAACATATCGTCATACCTGTCATTATCTTTGACAACACAGAGATAAGAATCCACGATTATAGTGTGTCTATTTAAGATAGATTATACAATTTGAGATGTCCAGAAAGAAAAAGAAAATTTTTTAACGTTTTTTTTAATTAATTGCGAGAGACATAGCTAAATATCTGTAATAAATTTAAAAAGCAATAAGATACTTTAGTTACAGTATTTATTTCATTGATTAATATTTTTACAAAACCGATTCTCGATAGTTCGTAGTTGTTCGTGATGCGCGTACGGTCCGACACTATGACAACCGGCTATTAAGTACAACATTAATCATCATACAAAATTAATTCGATAATTTATAGGCGTCAGTTGTCAAACTAATCTATCTTAAATAGACTCACTATTGTAAGGTATTATTTGTTATTTCATTTAATTTAATTAGTATTTTTATAAATAAATAACTCGTGTTAGAAACTTATACTCATTCTATAGAAATATAACTGCAGAATTAATACTATCGCAACTGCTTGTACAGTCATATGACATTGACTTCTACGAATGAAATTCAAAATGAATAGTCGTATGTTTTACCTATACTTAACTGTATTGAAACCACATGTAGTTGCTACGTTTAATATAGAAAATACATATACCTATGTGTAGAATTCAGGACGTAAAAGCATTTCAAATGGGCTAATAAATTTTTCACTAGCTCAAAGTGAACGTTAGTGAACACCTGAACACTTCGCTCGAAGTTAATGTAATTTTGACACGCTTCACTATAGAAAAATAAATACCAATATATATGAAAATTAACAATGTTTCTTCTACTTAACTAGTGTGTTATTAATATTTTTGTTTAGTATTTTTGTCTAGTTAATATGCTTAAAATAACCAATTGAAATACTAAGCAAATTCACAGATTGAATATTCAACACATAGTTACCTCCGCAACGAAACTATAATGGAACTTAAATGATGCATAATTCTAAAGCAATCAAGTGCAATATTCATACATTCACGTATTGAAATAGCGTATAAAGCTCAGTGCATTTCAAACGTAAACCTGGCAAACTAAGTTCTGAAGTTGTACAGTCATGGTGAAAAATATTAATAAGAATGAAGTTCATTTTTATGCTATCTGGGACAAAAATATCCTTCTCCGTCATTCTCCTTTAAGTAACTGAGACAGTAGCTTTGAAGCGAAGCTTTTATACTAAATCCGAGAGAAAGAAAATTCTAAGGAAAACTAACCCACGTACTAGCACTATGGTTGGTGACATTGTAGAGTCCAATTCATTAAGTTTTTTTTTATTAATTGGCTATCATTAATTTATGTGTGTCGCACGATAACCCAATGTAATACCTAGAGGTAAGATTGTATTACATGCTGACGCGCCTTCTATACTGAAAAAGTTTACAACGAAGTCGCAATCGAATGCCGGACAGGCTGATACGTTTTAAAAATTTCTTTCGTTAAAAGCCAAAGTCTTTAAAAATTACTTTTCATCTATTATGTGCGTGAATGTATTTCATTTTATTTTTAACTGTAAAACAAAAATTGCATCAAGAAAAACAATATTATTATTTTTCCTTTACTAATCCCCCATATATGTATATAATTTATATTTTATTTATCAAAATATCTGTTGCTGATTGTACACACAACTAATATGCTGAAAGCAGCGACAGCAAACAATGCAAGTTTAATGAAAATACGCGACTAAAATTGTGTTACGAATGAGAAATCGCATTTCACGTGTGAGTAGAAACTATGCAAAATGAACATACTAAATAACTCTCACTAAACTAAAATAATAATCATCATCATCAGCTCACTATAAGTCCCACCGAAGGGCTCGGAGCCTACCCTAAGTTAAGGGTGATTAGGCCATAGTCAACCAAGCTGGCCAAATGCGGGTTGGTTGACTTCACACATATCTTTGATTTCTTCTCAGATATGTGCAGGTTGCATCACGATGTTTTCCTTCACCGTGAGAACGTCGGATAAATGTACATATGTAAATCGAAAATCGAAAAACACATGGGTACATGGCGGGATTCGAACCCAGGACCTGGCCACCACTGAGCCACCGACAAAATAATAATACTTGTTATTAATTGTTTATTTTTGTATTTTTTGTTACACTGTAATTGTTCCTTACCAGTCTCTTCCCACAGGTTTGTCTGCTAGAAATCGCTTATAACGGTCGCCTTTGTCCACATCTGCATGTATCTTAGCTTTAGTTATATGTTTGGTATAACGTATATAATTAAAAATCTACACACTTTATTATATTAATATATTAATTATTTCACATCTTTTTCTGACGGCTAACTATAACTCGTTGGGTAGATGTAAAATAATAAATATGAAAGTGGAGAACGTTTAAAGGAAAATGATACGTAAATTTCGGGGCTATTAAAACAGTAACCGCGCACAAAAATCTTTTTCCCGTGGATTGATCAACTCTTATCAATAAGTATAGCGAATATATCAATAAAGTTTAGAAAAACCAATGATCCCCGCCTTATAATGAAAAGCAAAGTCATCTAATAGGTATTAATACAATAGTAGTGTTTGTATGTAATATTGTAAAGTTGTATTTGCGCTACTGATAACGAATAACCAAATTAAAAAAAAAATCTGTGCCTGTTCGCGAGGTCGCGTTTGTTCCGAGTAATCTCCGGCACGGCTGGATCGATTTTGACGGGAAGGCTGAGCTGATGCACGCGGTAATATTAAAGGCTATTTTTTATTATTTTAATCCCACACTGAAAAAGTCGCGGGGAATGCTAGTCTGCAGATGATCCAGTCATATTGTTAAAATATTAGCAATCCAGTGTATCATAACTTTTAAAATAAAGTCCAAGAAAGCGCCTCCTTCACCGATACCGTTTCAAGGAAAGGTAAATCCAATGACGTGAGATGTGGCTTTTATGACGCTAAAATAACATGTTCCCAGATGACCTACTTTCCCGTGCCACCCCTATTCATACCGACAGCGAATAAAAAGTCAATATACAAGGATTTCTATTTCGAGACGTTTAATGTTATATTTTTAAAGAGGAATCTTAATTCTTTGTACATCAATCGTATAAAAAACTGTGGCTATAAATACCAACATACCACATCGATTGATCAATCGATGTATAAATTGTCCTAAATATTTATTATTATTTTTAATTCCGAGTTAACCATTATCTTATTAATATTATAAATGCGAATGTTTAAATGGTAGCTCCTAAACGGCAATATAGATTCCTCTGAAAGGCAAATGCATAGATGTAGATATATACCGAAAATATTGGCTACTAATTAACTTTTATTCCGCGGGACGGAGTCATGGGTTACAATTATTTAAATAAATTCTTTCAGATATCGATTGCTATATTTAAAACTTATAAATACACTTTATAATTGAAGTAAATAATTAAGTACAAGCAAATTGCAAAAATTATCAACGAGGAAAATTAGAAACGTGCGCTGAAGTGCGAGTAAAATCAGGTAATTGAACAAAGAAAATCTAATAACGAGTCTCTTCCTGCTTTGTTGAATAAAAAATAATATTTTTTACAACGATGCTTTTTAATAACAATTTAATTTTAATTATTTTTACATTTTTTTATTAAAATTAAACTAAAATCATAAGAAAAGCTAATTAATTGGATGAAATAAAAATTCATCAATAATAGCTGTTAATTCTGCAAAGTTCAAATATTCATTTCCTTAGTTCGAGAAGAAGAAGTTTTTTTTTTTTAAACAAGAAGGCGTAGGTTGTCTGTTGCTTATATTGTCTATGGCTTACATTGTCTCATTTATCAGTTCCACTATAAAATAATAAAGTCTTTAGTCCCGCTCTATAGACCTATTTTCATAGAAAAATAAACATAGAATTTTAATAAGAAGCCCTACCCTGAGAATCTCATTAAAAACTTTACAATGTTATTTAGTGTTTCTTCCATGAAGAAAATTATATATATATATATTAAGTCATTTTCCCCGTTTGATAGTAAATAGGTAAATAGGACAGATGTGTACCTCAGACTAAGTTTAACTGCCTTACCGTTGCAGTTTTATTACAAAACTTTGAGTTTACTCGTGTTAATTTAAGTTATATATAAATGTATTTTTTTACGTCAATTAAATGGCAAACTAGTATTATTTGATTTTTTTAATATGCGTTGTCCTATTAGCCTAACTATATCCGCTTTGACAATTCGTACTAAGTGTGGAAAGCCACACTTAGATATACTTAGTATACACTACGAGAGACCCTTAGTGTACATTTATTATGAGTATTTGACTATAAGTCAGAGTATAATTATTAAAACAAAAACATTTCCCCCTTAATTATATTCAATTTTTGTTTACATCTATTATCCGATTTTATTAAGCGAAGGTTACTAAATTATAAAGATAAAAAAGCATAATATTGGTAATAAATCTTCAGAAAGTATTATATAGGTGTACAAGGACAAAGGCTGTGTTTTATCATTAATCATCCATAATAATATTTTAATCAATCACTTCACACTCGATGCGCAGCTCTGAACGAGGCCGCCGTCGATTTTTTTTTTGTCCTCCAGACGTAATTCAAAAATGTACATGTCATTTTACTCACAACAGGTATACATATATTTATATTATGACAATATATTAAAATTTACAAGTTTACAGTAACTAAAGATAGGTACAAGATAACTTTAAATAATAGCGGAGTTAAAGAAATGTACATATATTTCAAAGGGTTATCGCTTCGTATCCATCTCGAACCCAATCATCGCGGTGTTGCCGGGGCGCCCACCAGACGAACGACGAAGAGTGAACGCCACGACTAGTAGCTGTTGTACCCTTGTAGGATCACTATGTTGTACGTCCGTATATCTGTCTGTTGAGACACTTTTTTCATATTACTTATCATAGTCATTGACTCTTTCTCATGATCGTCTTTCTCTGTTGTCAAAGTCAAGCTTTCTTGCAGGATTATAATCCTGAATCAGGTAACGCCGACGTTAATAATTTCAAAGCAATTTAAATGAAACACAATGTAGACCACAATAACATTTTAGTAGCACAAAACCCGTAATTAAACTTGGTTATGCTGTTGTCAGTTAAGGTCGACGATAAATGTTTGCTTATTAAGTTACAAGACCTGTCAAGCGCGCAAATTCCTCTAAAACAAACAATAATTTCTAAAGTTGTTTGCTTTTATGCTTGTTTTGTATGTAAGTATACATGTTAAATTTTTGACTTATCATGCATAAAGTCATTTCAACTTGCCAACATGACATGCACATGTGTCATTTTCATATTCAGTTCACCCGCCACGAAACGTTTCAGAATTTACTTCATATAACAACAGTTCTTTGTCTAGTCCATTTCTCTATTGTCTAATAACTGAACCGTTAACGTTATGGAAGCGGCATTGGATCCGACAACACGAAATGCACAATATTCTAAGCAGTCAGTTAATGCGTCGATGCGTTGTATTTGTAATGAATTTGTTCCAAAGATCGCGTCCTCCTATATAACAATTAATTATTTAGTGGTTTAAAAAAAACAAACTACTTACTATATCCCTATATCTCATTATAAAAGAAACAAATCGAATAATAGCCTTAAAGGGACATTCGATAACGTGGTAAAGGTTCGAATCCCGACATTCGAATATTATCGTAAACCTTATCCTAGCATAAGGAATGGTTTCAATGTACAATCGGGGAATCTGGCAGTATAAAAAGTTATAGTCTTTTGAGCGTTTTGTACACATTGAGTTGATGACAGGGAACAGTAAACCAATATGACGTAGCTATTAAATGATTGTACGAATAAATCGATCAGGTACACGACTAATTGCTTTTCAGTTTTATCCCATAGTTTTTTTTTATCTCATTGCTATCTAATTGGTTGTTTTTCTTCAAGTAGAACACCGTGAATTTACTCGACTGTACATACAATTCCGCTTAAACATACGTGACCTCGAAACACATTAATTTCTTGTCAGTGGAGAATTCTTGCTATAAATGCGAATGTTTGGATGGATAGATGTTTCGTATCTCCATACCGACTGCATGGATCTCTATGAAATTGGGGTAGTTCTAGAACACACTCTGGAAGAACACGTAGGCTACGAATAAAGTTTTTTTTTAAATTTCATAATTAATGATAAAACCAATTGGATCGAACATAATTAAGTTGGTTTAAAACTTGACTTCTTAAAATAACACAAATAAAATGTCAATTAAATTTTACAGTAATCATGAAACCATTTAACGTAAGACAATTAATTAACGTTTCAGACAAAATGTAAATAGAATAGATGGGACATTTTGATCAAATCCTTTATGCGTAGTTACACAAATCTTTGAATTTCAAATCAGTAAAGTAAAATTGGTAGGGAATAGCACTCTATTACGAGGGTAGAGTCAAAGGAATTAATTAAACATACAGCCCTTTGTTAATTGTCGGAGTTGGGGCGGATTATGCTTATATTCTTGAACAATTCATTTACAGACAATCTATTGTATAAAATTATCGATACAATTTTATTATGTAAATACGGTTATATACAACAATTTGATCGGAAAAAATATATTTATCGGCTTAATCACAGTCTTATTCTAGACATAGGTCACAAAGATCAGTCTGTTATCAGACATCACCAGACCAGAATAACCAGACCATATCTGAGTGAAATTTATGCAAAATACGTAATCAGCTTGTTTATAAAAAAATTATTATAATGAACTAGCTGTTGCCTAAGATTCCGTCCGCGCGGTGTTAAAAAAATCTTAATAAGTAGCCAAATTTCAGCGAGATCTGACAAATTGAGACGTTCCGAAGATACCTTCAAACAAACATCCATTTATCTAAACATTCACATTTATAATTAGTAAGGTCAAACAAAAATACTAATGCCAAATTAATGCCAAATAATTTTATGTTATGACTGTAATATTAAAATATAAAATCTATTACCTAAAGATTTATAGTTAAAATGAATTTGACGCGCGGCGCCATGTTCGTTTTGTGTCAATTCATACTTTTCAAGTGACAAGATAATACACACACAATGTATTCAACTAATGGAACTAATAAAAATACGTTCATTTGTTTTTTATCGAAACGCATCAAATTGTTCAGTTAATTTTCTATCAAATGATAGAAATAAAATATCGCTTTCCTACTATCCCACCTTATATTCAAACATACCATAGAATAGTTACTTAAGCACCGATTTACTCTAAATCAATAAAGCGCTACTTGCCAAATTTTATTGAACAATCTACATTATGTCTTCACATAGATTTCCAGGCGGGACACCATGTAGATACGAAAGCGTATACAGCTGGCCTCTCAGGCAAACAATAACCAAGACTTTCCAGCAGAGACGGAGTTTTGGTGACAGAAACATAGAAATCGTTGAAATTTATCACTCCATCCAAATCAGCGTCCATCCGTTTTAACATTATATCAACAAGTTCCTGTTATTAAGAAAAAAATCATTACTTCAATTTTGCTTAATCAAAAACAGCCTAGTCATTCAGTAGGCAGTAGCGACATCTGTAGTCAGGCAAGGAAACACGATTGAAATTAAATTTTCTTTGCACTACGGTCTTATTACTTTCTCTCGTTGAATCACAGAGGGCGCTTTTAAATTAACTTATAAATATCAATACTAGAAAAGGTAAAGGTCAAATTGGCGAAACTGATACAACGCACGCTATCTCTTTTGCTCAACCCTTATTACCGTCGGAATATTGAAACAAAAACTTTTTCAAACCTCCCTTATACAGAACAAAGACAGATATATATATTTGTACAGGCTATTCGGTCGTAAGTTTTCACGGTCGAATTGCCTGCTTAATATTATATGCAATTTAGCCAACTACAAACATTGATGTAATGCACCAATCAAAATTGTTGATATACCTCCCCTGAGGGACGGCTTGGCTAGTTTGATTGTATTTCGATAATCAATAAACCAGACGGCTGAATCGCAATTCCACCAGATTCCAGACATGGTTAAACACAATACTTATTCAGTAATATATTACCTTAACCGCTTCTTCTACATCGTCATCCCTTGAAGCTTTCGCTAAGCTCTTCTTCATTAATTGATACATCGTTTCCCGACGCAAATAACCCTCCCCTAATAAATCGTAGCACTAAAACAAGAAAGAGACTTTTATAAAGTTGCTCGAACAAGATCACTTATCTTCAAGGTTTGCTTCGTTCCGATTGGAACACACCTGTTGATGTTACGTGAAATTTCATTCTATTTATATTATTAGTATGAATCCACACCACCCTCAGCCTTTCACCATAAAACATATATTGATTTCAATGAAGTAGTTGAGTGAGAATAGAACGAAAATGTTGAAAATTGTGGGCTAGTAAACGACGTCCATGTATAGATATAGGCAAGAGAGTTCTATAAAAAACCTAATTGAGATACGTGCCTAATTTATGTTGTTTGAAAAATCAAGGCTAAAAAGACAAATAAGTAAGTAAAATTACAGTGAACGCATAAGTGATTCTCTCTTCCAAGCTGCCGCGTAGATAGAGTGACATGGCTTTAGCAAATGTCGCCATCGTCACGTAGGGCGATGTGCCTCGGTCCAATGCGACCATAACTCTCTCCATCATATACGAATCTGTCATACCGAGACCGGTGTGTAACACGTCTCTAAAGTGAGCTCTGAAAATATAAAAAAACACAAAGGTGCATAAAGCTTAATTTCGTGACTCAAGAGATATTGACTGCAGTAATTATTCTAATCCAAAGCTAAGAGAAGTAATTAAAAAAGCTCATATATACATTCCGTCCATGCAACGCCTTTGACTTGTGTATTTTGCCTTACGAGAGAAATCTCAAATAAACAAAAACAAGTCTAATTCCCAAAGGGAGAGCCGTAATAATAAAATTAAATTAAGAGTAGTTTACCGAAATAAAGTTATTTCATTCGTTTGTTATTTTCATAAAATATATGAGAGAAGTAATTGTGATAATGAACCTCGATATAAGATCCGACGCGGCTGGTTTATCATCCCTCTTTTGTATTTTAAAAAATATGACCATGATATCTGTAAGAAGATAGTTTTTATAATGTAAAATAGAGTGGCAAACGAGTAAATGGTTAACTGATGTCACCGAAATAGCGAATCGATCACTGCCCATAGATATCTGTAATTTTGGACGCGTTGCCTACTCTTTAATCAACTGCAGATTATGTTATGCGTTATCTATATTGAGTTAGTTATTAAATAATGGAGATTTATGTTAAACAAAGAGATTTAAATCTATAGAGCAGACATTACGAGCATTTTTCCTTAAACATTTTAAACAAATTCACACATATTCGTCTAAAAGGTACACAAGTGTTAACCTAGGCGATCCAAATTGTACCACCCGTACATCATTTTAGGATTATGATTTTATTCATAATGTCCTGTCTATTAATATCTTACTTACTTTCTAGCTCGTCGAAGGTAAAATGTGTACTCTTTTGAATTTCCGCCCATAATCCACCGTGTTTTTTTCTAAAACGAATCTCCTCCATAGGATCTAAAGATGCATCTAAGGAAGCCGACATTTTGTTGAATTACTGTGGTATATTTGGTTAAGAAATTTAATGTAAATATTTCAATAAATAAGACAGACTGAATGTAAATAAAATTTTGAAGGGTGAATGTCGATGTGACATTCGATTTGAATCAGTGTGACTTTGATTGTCATTAACTATTCGATTATTCGCCATCATTCGATTTCGTTTCCAAACTCTTTATTTTATGCTCTTTTAACTAACTCTTTTTTCTTCAAAATATATGTAACATAGAATAAATCATATTTCGTACATATGTACTAGCTGTCGCCCGCGACTCCGTTCACGCAGAGATTAAAAAACTTAATTAGTGGCATGTGTGTTCTTCCAGACTATGTTCTATAACTATGCAAAATTTCAGCGAGATCCGTAAAGCGGTTGCGGAGATACAAACAAACACCCATCCATCAAACATTCGCATTTATAATATTAGTAAGAAGTAAGATTTGCGTAGGAGATAACGAAAAAACAATTTATAAAATTTTTGTCTGTCTATCTGTATGTCCGTAAGGCCGCTTATGTTCCGCCATACCTATACCGATGACGTTTTACCGATTTTAACAAGTCTTTAACGGAAATGTAGCTAATACACCTAGGCATACTACAGGCATTTTTTTAAATACTATATTGCCGAAGTCGCGGGCAACCACTAGTCGTAAAAAAATTCTTTGCACTAGGCTCGTGCCTTTCGGTATAACATCGAAAAACAAGGTTGCCGTCGCGACAGGCTAATTTATCGAGTACCAAAAATTACAATTACTGTTCCTTCAAATACGTCTCTTTGTAAATAGAACATTCAATAACATCCACAAATATATTTATGAATAGGTCTTAATCAAATTACACGTTTTGTAAGGAATCTTCCAATTACCTTTCCGATTTATTTTATCTTTGTACATAACTTTTTTTTACGTAGCAAAAAACTGATCTGATATAGTTATTTTATAAAAATTTACTTAAAGATAATTAATTTTGTTCATAATTACATTGATAAAAGCTGAAGCCCGCGACTACGTTCTGGTGGAATTAAAAAAAAAATTATTAGCCTTCGTGTTCTTTCAAACTATGTTCTACTCCATACCTAATTTCATCAACATCCGTTGAGCCTTTCTAGATATACCTTCTAACAAATATCCATTTATCTAAACTTTCGCAATTGTAATATTAGATAAGATTTAAATTAAAAATAGAAAAAGAGATTAAAAAATTATGGTTTTCACCAATAGATGGCGTGACTAGTATCGTTGGATGTGTCTAATCACTCGTTATTGATATTTCTCTGAGCTACAAAGTTACATAGATTTAATGGCCATAACAGTATCTTAGTGTAGGTTACATGATACTGATGAAATATACATTTAGAGACTGCTTAGATATGCAACAAAGGACTGGAAAGGACTACGAATATCCTTTCCAGTTCCTTTCGCATTAGAACGATACTTTTACCAATTACTTATTGTTATTTACATTAAATAAAAAAAGATGTATTCATAAAGGATTTAAAATATTATAAAATAAAAATTAACATATTTGTGCGTCATCCAGGTTTAAACTTCTCAAAGTGTTAGTATAATATTGAATCACGTGACATCGAATCACCTGTTGAGAATGTTCTAGAATAATCTTGAATGCGATCGATACTTCCACCCCAAGGGGATAAGAAAATACGTGGGAGCTTAAGTTACAGTATTGTTTTAATTTTCTGTTTAATGCTATTATATTTATTTTTTCAAAGAGAAAGGTGACTAAATTGTTTTGCGGTATGCATAAATAAAAAAATAACTCGGCGAGGAAAATTAGTAATTAATGCGCGGAAAGACTAGGGCAATAGCTAGTGTATGTCTTATTAAATTCAAGGTCAATATAAACGAAATTTAAATACAATTAAGCTAAATAAGGTAACACATCAACATTCAATAAAATTTCTATAGATACTTTTGCAGAATAGCTACGATTAGAGATCCGATAAGAGGGTTACACACTTGTTGCGTTCCTTTCACTTGTTCGGCAGTAAGCATTGAATAAAATTTAACAAAAATTGCAAAGCTTGCCAAATATGGCATATTCTATTCTTGAAATCAACTTGTTATATATAAGAGTTATACTATTTTAGTTAATAAAACAATAGACAGGTGCAATTAAAAAAAATAGTGTTGTACTAAATTCCGAGTTAATGAAACGACACCTGCTAATTAAATAAAACAGTCCTAAAACTGAAAGCATCAATTAAAATACATCTGAGTACAATTATTTGTACATTAAAATTCACATCTAGGATATTATAATATCTTATAGAAACGTACGTGCAAAAACATAATTTTCTCTAAAAAAAAAATAATTTAGTCGAATTCCGAATTGGCTGTGAAATAATACTTTCTTAACATAACCTTGACTATAAAAGCACGGTCAAGTGCACACAAGGGTAACCGAGGTTGGTTTGCATGCGCCGACTGCAGATGTCGCTTTGTGTAGAATCAAGCTTTTCACGAGAAAATGTATATTAAAAGTAGCGTTTATCAATTAAAATGAATGTTAAATAGATATATTGTAATTAAAATCAATGTAAAACACAAATTAAAACATAAATTACCAATTTATAAGGCTTTAAATTGACTCTATTGTCCTAGCTAATAAAGTAATTAGTTTTTTTAATTTCGTTCTAGAACATTCCGCGCAGGAATAAAATCCATACATCGTTGCTTAGGTACGGTTTACAGGGATGAAGGACGTCATTACTGGTTGCCAATAAATAGGAAGGTGGAGGGCGAATCCGCCCATATTCGCTGCAGCCTCCGCAAGCACTAGACCTAGCCTTAGTTGGATCCCGAACGCGCTCCGTGCAACACCTGTGCATTCAGTCCGGACTTGTGCCAGTTTAAATTTTTTTTTTTAATATTGTGATTAATTTGTGAACAATTTAAATACATTCCCAAGTGATCAATACTTTAGTTTTGTGCAGTTTTGTGAAGTTTTCCCGTATTCTGCTACACCATTTTCCGGTAAGTTTGTAAGTTAAGTTGTGAAAAGTTGAGGTTTCAAATTGTTTTCTTAAAATTAAATAATATAGTAAAATAAATACTTTTGAATACAGATATTAATATTATAAAAAGTTTTAATTATTTAACTGTATTCTTACTGAAAAATGAGTTTGAAAAAAAAAAACAGTACTTAAGAGACTTAGAAAATTTTTCCAAAAAAAGTTAAGTCTTCTTTTTAACGTAAAATATGATTTAAAAGATTTAACTGATTAGTTTAATCGGAATAAAATGATATAATTCCATTGTTCTAACTTTGTTTCAAAGTTTAACGGAAACGGCAGTTAGTTATTTAATAATTAACTTTCGGAATGATTAATACAATTTATTAAAAATTATTGATTTAGTCAAACTGTCTTTCTAATTTCTTCATTTTTACTTTTTACGTCTTATTTAGTTAGATATTTTATTTGATTACGGGGTTTTTATTATGTGTAACATTTTTATTTTGGAACAAAACTTTTAAGTCCTTAGGAACCATATTCTAGTGATTGGTTTAAACATTTTTCCAGAGTTTCAACTGATTTTTCGGAACTATTACTTATTACAATTAAGAGTTTATCGCTAAATTTTCGCGCACAATATTCGGTTTTTCAACATTTATCTTTGTCTTTCCGGTTCGCATAATAAGAGTTTTAAAATGAATAAAAAGTTTTTAAATTCTATATTTCCTTACATGACGGTTTATACTCTTTAAAACGAAATTTTACTTGCTAAATACGGAAGACCTGTTGAATCTTCAAACAGTTGAATCTTAAGTCGACATTTTCAAACAAATGAAATCACTCTCATGAAGCAATTGACAAAATTAATTAAAATTTTAACGCAAAAAGAAACTTAAAAATGTTTCAATCTCGGGTCCGTCGGTACTTTTTGCAATCGACCGGTGAAGTTTGAACGACGCTGGAAATTAAAAATATTGCTTACGTTAATTAAGTACATAAAAGAAATTGAATAAAATCTTCAAATTTTATTAATTAGATTCGTTAAAAAAAATTATGAACAAAATTACTTTGATAAGCTCAGAGACGAATCATTTCGTATGATGCTCGTGGGTTTTTTTAGATACTAAGCCGCTTAGGTTGCGATCTGTCGCAATTGAAAAGACGTAAACACCTTTTGTCATATTTGATGTCCCTTAATTTTCCGTCGGGCAAAGGAAAAATATTATTTTGTCAACGTATGTAATGCTCATTAGCCGTATTGAATATTTATTTTGTTATATCTTTTTCACAGATGAAGGTAAGTTTTTCTGATAAAAACATCATGGTTATATGATGACTACAATTTTACGGACGACATCAGCTCTAAGTATCCAGATATAAGGATATATCAGGAATCAGTTCTCCGCGGAACTTCTAGGTAGTCCCGCCGTACAACATAGCTTTATGAAGTCCACAGCGAAACCATCCAGCACGCGCATTTTGCGAAATTTCGTCAACATCCGTTAAGCTGTTCCGGAGATACCTTCAAAGAAACATCCATCCATCCATCCATCCACCCAGCCATCCATCTAAACATTCGCATTTATAGAAATAGCGTCGTAAGCATCATTATTTGTCTAAACGGTGTGTTTAGAATTGAAATAGTTTTATTTTCAAGAGTGCAGTATAGACTCTGGCCACGTAATTAGATTGAGCAACCGTTTTAAAGAAAACAATAAGGTACAACCAATCAAAAGTGTTTACCAATGACTGTTGTTTATCCGCCCGGTTATCTAGTTTTCTACTTGTTGCTTTTATTCAACATATTCTTCGGTTTAAGTAAATAAAAGAGACAATTTATTTTGTTTGATTTTTGCCGTCGGAAAGTTTGATGCGATAGAAAAGTCACATATTCATTAGTGCTTCCTTGCTGTATGAAGTAAAACTTATAAACGTTTAATTAGGAATAGTTTATTCACTAAAGAATTTTTGTTAAGAGTTAATGTAGATTCTAGCGTTTGCTAGAAACTATATTTACAAAAATTCAAGAAAATGTTCTTGCTAGTTCATATTTTTTTACAGTCTCCAAATAAGTAAGATCTCTCGTAAGTTAAACAAAATAACATATTCGTAACAAAAAAAATATTTGAAGATAGAAGGTAGGCTCCGAGCCCCTCGGTGGGGACGTATAGTGAGCTGATGATGAGGATGATGATGATGAGTTTATAATTTACTGAAAGTTTTTGTGAGTTTTTTGATTCGTTGCTCGTTTGCCCCCTTCTCCTATAAAAAAAAAAAAAAAACTTATCGGTCTCCAACGGGCAATCCACAAGAGGCGTAGAGATTGTAGAATTCACAATGTTCGTAGAACGCGTAGCGTTCGTAGAGTATGAATATTCTGCAAAACTCGTAGAGTTTCTATTACCCATAGCATCGGCAAAGACGTATAACTTTTAGAAACGGAAAGCGTATTATCCGTAGAGTGCATTGTGTGTGCGTTGACTCCTGTAACACCGGTGTGCTGTGAGCGGAAGTCCTCTGCGGAACCGTAACCGCAGAACCGCGGTTATTTCGCTATTCTTTGCGAAATGTATGAGAAGAGGAACATTAGCAACGTAGATTTTTTGACGATCATTCAATCTCTTTCTTCGCTCCGACGCCAGCCACATATCTGCGCTTCTGCCGCAACGTTTTTGTCGGTGCCGCGTTATTTTTGCACGGATGTTTGGCAGACAACAAAATCAATAGCGTAAAAAATATTCCTTGCAATTTACATCGGTTTCGCTACTGGTATTTTGCATCGAAGGTGTGTTAGAGCCTGAAGACGAAGCGCGTTCAGCATATTCGTAGCAGCAGAGCGGGTAATGACTGCAATTCTCGTAGCGCTTGTGGAATTCGTAGTGCCGTAGAAGCGTTGTATCCGGTGAGCGCGTAGTGTCCGTAGAGCGTACATTAGTTACAACAAGCGTAGAGCACATACAGCGTGTTGTGTTTATTTGTGCGTATACAAGGAATACAATTAAATTAATTAAACATTTTATGCAACATCTTAGTTGTTTGTTTCATCGGGTTTGAAATGAAAGGGAACTTTTTTGGTATTTATTGAATATGATCAACCATATAATGATATGGTCGATCATATATAAAATCCGTTCCTTATTTAATGAAATAAGGAACGGATTTTACAGAATACATCCGCATTATTTATTGGCCATTTGCCACTTGTATAAAAGATAATTACCAATTCCAAATACTGATAGAGATTTTTTTTACAGTTGCTGCCCCTTACATCCCGATAAATGAGAAAGATAGAAACATGGATAGTTACGTAAGTAATAATTTAGTTAAAACAATGTCTTTAACTATAAGGTTTTAATTCCTTTTTATAAAACCTAATTTATGACATCACGAATACACCCTGTGTACACTATGGAAAGGAACAAATAAAAAGTAATTTAGCGATGATAATTTTTGAAGTCATCCTTTTTAAAACGACTTTTATGTTACCAAAGATAAAAATGATTTGTTATCTTAGTAACTTTATATTAATTCAATTATTTTGGCAGTTTTATTGTATTTATGAATTCTTTACATTTCATATTTCCAATTCCAAAGTGTACAGAATCAATGCCTACCTTATTCTTGTTTGAAGTTTGAACAAAAATTAAGATGACATCATTGAAAGTTACATCGAAAATATTTTTTGTTCACAGGAAAAATTAATAGTCACGCCAATTTGCATAGTGAGCCTGGTTTTGTGCATGTTGAATTTTTACGTAAATTACATGACGTAAGTACCTTGTTTTTTCTCATAGGGTCGCTTTACACAAGACTGTTTTAGAAAAACGACTTGCTGCGGCATTTTATAACAATAATACTTCCTCATGTCGAACGACACCTGATATATAATATTTTTATATACTTAACGACAAACGAGCTACTAGCCACCTAAAGTTAAATGATTTTAACCGAATATCCGCAAAAAGGCCAAGTGCGTCACGGACCTTAAAGGAAACAGTTTGCTCTTAAATGTTCATGAATGTTTTTTTGTATTACAAAGTATTTGCGATTGTCATATAATTTAGACTCAAGTGTAATTAATATTAAATAAAAAACTTTTTTTCCAGCCCTTTACCGACTCATGGTTCTCCAAATTCTAAGTGCGTTAATTTTATAAAAGTTTGTGGTACATGATTGTCGTATCGATGTTATTTGTTAAAATATTCTTTAGCTCGCAATTTCGTCCTACTGCGATTTTTAATGCGTATTATGAACATATTAATTATGTACATTAAAAGCATGAAATATATCTAGATCTGAAACTATAAAAATCATACTTTAGACCAGTCTTTCCCAAAGTGGGCGATAACGCCCACTTGTGGGCGCTGCAGGTTTCAAGTTACGGGTTATAGTAAAAGTTTCGTTTAGAATTCTCCGTTAATATACATATATAGGTCACAATAATTAATTAATTTATTTTGAAGTTATAATGGTTTTTAAATTTGTGAAAATATAGGGGCGCTAAAAAAATATTTATTCTCAAAGTGGGCAGTAGACAAAATAAGTTTGGGAACCACTGCTTTAGAACATACGTTTATAATTCCGTCAACGAATCATAAAGATAAAAAAAATGATAATTCCCATGACGGAATTCAAAGATTTTCATGAGGCAATAATGATTAATAACAATTTTTGTACGACGATTCAAACTGATTGGTCCAAATTGAAATTATTCGAATTCGATTCGAAATTCGAATATCGATAATTTTTAATAATAACATTTACGAATGAAGTTAGTGCTTTTAAACATACTTTAGTTCAATTTTTAAGGATTTCGAATGGCAAAATGAATTCAACTCAACTTGATATTTTTTTATAAAATAAGATGATACAGTGGTAGATAGAAATCGTGGCGCAAGCTGAAGAAATACATATTAATACGTTTGTATTCTATTTAAAATAAATTTTGTATAAAATCTAGGAGATAGAATAAAGTAAGGCTACTTCAGTCTGCTTATTTTTAAGACATCATGTTACAATTGATCGTCTAAAAGTTCGAACTAAACGTATTTTTTAACGTTTCTTATTATTTTTCTAATTTTTCTAATAATAAAATCTTTTCTGATAGAAATTGAGTGAAAATACTAGTTTTTAATTATCATTTGATTTAAAAAAACATATGGTCTAAAGTATGAGTGTTATAATTGTTAAGTATTGTTTTCAATGTACTTAATTATATTATATTATTTTTCAGCTTTTAATATATTTTGTATATGGAAATTGGTATCAGGCTTTTATTGCAATTGTAGAAAAAGTTACACGTACACTTTATAATCTTAAACGACAATATTAAGAAAAAAATAATACCCTCTCATAAAAACTTACATATTCTTGCGCAACACTACAATATTTCACGAAAATCTCTATAAGAAGAAATTAATTGTAAATTCTGTTTCGTGTATAAATTATAACCGTGCGTTTCTCAGAGCAAAGAGCTTTATAAACATATCATCATCCCTGTCATTATCTTTGACATAACGGAGATAACAATAAGTTTTATTGGGGTATTGTTGTCTCGGAAACCCACAGTTAGTGATTCAATACAATTTATATTCTCATCAAATTCGCAATCGGTATTTCTATACAGTAGAGCTTTGCTGTTTCCTTATTTTTTAGTATCGTTGATCTGTGTTTGTCTTAGAAGTTTAGCCAACTAGATTGTCCGTATTTTTATTTACTTAGATGTCTAACACATTTCTGCGAAAGCGAACCGGAACCATAGCGAATCAAATTTTGATATGAACATGACTAATTAGCAGCTATTTGACATATCTTAATACACGAAAAGAAAACTCCAAACAATCTAAAGTGGACTCCGCGTCTTAACATTTTTTTTTTAAATTTCTAATTAGTTAATTTATTTTTAGAAAGTCGGTGGTTCAGGGGTTGACAACTTGACTTGCAATCTGAATGTTCTGGGTTCGAATCTCGCCATAGACCAATGTGTTTTTGATGTTCATATGTACATCTATCCGACATACTTACGGTAAAGGAAAACGTGGTTGACTTTGGAGTCAACCACGTTTTCCTAGGCCATCCTAGTCACATTTGGCCCCTTAAGTGGTGACTTATAGTAAGCTGATCATAATGATGATGACTATTTTTTATTTACTTATTCAGTTTTTAGGTAGCAACTTATTTTTTTTACATTAAACTTATGCCCGAATACTAAAATGTTACTCAAATACCTCCCTTCGTAAGCACTGCTTACAATTAAAAAGACATCAAAGTTTAAGTGGAATACACAAACGAAACTCAAGACATGTAAGCGCGTGATTCCGAAAGTAGACGTATCATTTTTATGTCATGGCAACATCCTATGTTCTGTTTCAATGAAGTTATACGTATAATTTTCATGTCTTACGCGATACGCTATGTTTCTGGTTCTGCTACGCTTCCGTAACAGTGTTCAACAATTGACCTTGTGTTCAACAGGGCAAATATGCGATTAAGAAAATGCTTGAGTAATCATTACGTCCTTAACATGGCACTGTATTATTTGGTATTGATGATCTGGGTGAACAATAAACCGACAAACGAACGGGAAGATACTATTGGAAAGCCATGCAACGAAAACGCGACTTACTTTTCTGTTTCGTTGTTTGAGGTAAGAGTTCTTTTTATTAAATACTAGCTGTTGCTCGCGACTTTGTTCATATGAAACTAAAAAACTAAACAGTCATTTCGTTCTGGACTCATAATGATAAATGAAAGAAAGTTCTAACTCACGGGGCGGCGCAGGATCGGAGAAAGTGGAGAATTGTTGTCGGAGGCGAAAGTCCACTTCGAGTCGCTGCGTCACCCTATAAAAGTAGCAAGAAGTAGAACTAGATTCTAGCATTGAATAATAAATACAGAGTCTATTAGCCGCTTCTATTAATACTTGCAGAGTTTATTAGCCGCGACCGAGGAATTCAAGTTTAGTAATAACACATTGTATGAAACTGTGGGCGTGGGAACCTAGATTTCAAATTTGATTTGAGATAGTATAAAGGTACTAAGATTTTTCAAAGAATTGAAAATTCATTTATGATTACTACTTATCGTAGGCTTTGTCGAGTTTTAGTATAAGTTTATATAAGCTGCAACTAACAATATTTAAAAAAAAATCAGTAAGCAAGTGCATGTAGTAAATATAGTTTATATTAAAAAATGCCGAAGAAAGCATTAGTTTAATTAAAGTAGACAGATTAAAATATATTTTTATATATATATTTTAGATATAATGACGAGGGGGTCAATTAATAAAAAATTCCAAGCCAACATAATGTTGGCGACGAAAAGGTTAAATCAATATTTTAATAATTAAGGCGGCAAGTTGCGATAGTCTCGGTTAAAAGAACGACCAAAAAGGAATTTTTATTATTGAATAGTTAGAAAACTAACAAATAAAATATACATGAAAGACGAAACTGCAGAGAACGAACATTCCCTAATAACTATCTAATTAATGGCCGACTTTCCCATGATAACTTTTTGGCTTAAAAATAAGAAAACGAATTCCTCATTTCTTGTTATTAAATAATACTTTAGTTGGTATAAAGTTACGGACAAGATCCAAAGTAATATTTCTATTTTCCGTACATATGATTATCCAATTGTATTTTTGTCAACAGAGAGCCTGCTTGAGCTTGCGGTACTCCGCTGAATATTTGTTGACCTTGACTTGCCACTGGATATTCTGCGCATTGATGCTATTGTACGATGTAGTACTCGATGTAAGTAACGAGAATTTATTTCATTTTGTCATGAATGTCATTTTATATCATAATCATCAACAGCCTTTATCTGCCCACTGCTGGGCCTTTCCTTTCCCAATACCTTCCACACGCGCGCGGTCCTCCACCTTCCGCATCCAACGAATTTTATATCAAGTTTCAAAAATACTTGAAATTTGAAAATTTATACAATTAATATATGTTTCATTCTATCAAAGAATATATGAGATGGAAACTTAAAAATGAAGCAAAATACTCGTGGCTCTACCAAGTAAATCGAAAATCAAAATATTAAATAATATATAATAGATATTTACTTACATAGAGTATATAATAAAAATCATTGCTTAATCTCTGGCCGGCCTTTGTCATTATCGTAACTGTAAAGATTTGTAACAATATGAACCACGCTGATGTCCACGGTGAAGTACCACGACCACACAAAAGACAGACGTCTAATGAAAGCAATTCCGTGTTTAGTCTGATAAGTGTGCATTCTGGAGGCCTAATTTTATTCCTCTGTCCCCTTCTTTTCTTTCTTATAATGTAAGGAGGAGGAAAAAATATTTTAACAGTGGTAGAGCCCGCTTTTGTGAAATACTACGACCACACAGAAGACAGGCGTGAAGTGGTAACAATTCCGCGTTTCGTCTGATGTGTGTGCTTCCCGGAGGCCTAATTTAGTCCTCTTTCCCTTTCCATCCTTTTTCTTATAAGGAAAGGATGACAAGTGAAAGTGGACTTTCCGGATGAGAGTATGCATGGAAGGGGAAAATATTTTTATTCTGTACATCCTCTCCTCAGTCGATTAAAGGTAGGCAACGCATATGCAATTGTGTATTTCTATGAGCAACAGTCACTTCGCTATTTCAGCGATTCAGGTGGCCGCTCTCTCGTTTGCCACTTTATGATGAAAAAAAAAGCGGAGGAGGGAACGCTTAGGACGGAGAAATATTCTATTTCTGTACATTGAACCCTCCTCCATTGATTGAAGGTAGGCAACGCATCTGCCATTGCGGAAGGATAAATGAAGCGGTCGTTTCGCTATTTCGGCGAATTCAGGTGGCTGCTTGCCTTTGCTTGCTTTGGGATCTTACAATATAAATAAATAATAAGTGTCAATGCAGCAAATGAACATGTGCGCATGCGCGTATTGCGAATGTTTGTAGCGAATATTAACGAAAACTTTACTAACTTTACTACTAAACAAAGTTATTAGTTTCAAAATCCTCCTTTCGTTTAAAATATTTAACAGCTCAGCTATGTGTTTTTATTTTGTTAGTCGTATTTTTGTATTCAGTAACATTTTCTAACAAAACATAGACAACTGATTTTAAAAGAAAAAATGTCTATCGAAAAAATTTTATTAAAGTGAGGAAAAAAACACTGTATACAATGTCCGTTAAATTTTGCGTCGACTGTTTTGATATATGTTTAAATTACTGCAGGTTTTCGCAGTGAACCCTATGAGATGGATGATATTTGTCGCTCTTGGCTACGTACTACTCATTATACCTACCATGTGTTACGTGCAACAAACAACTTGCGATCTGACAAGGTAAGATTACTTATTTGCAACTTAATTTCCGTATATCATTGAATTTTATTTTATGGTAACAACTTCTACAACATTACAAATTAATGACATTTAAAGCTTTAGTTTTCATGGATTGTATTATATTATTACATATGTTAAGTATACTTGAACATGAATATTATTATATTTAAAAAAAATCAAAACAACCATTCCAAGATAATGTATTTTTTCAATTCATAGTTAACAACGCATAACAGTTTAATCAAGGTAATATGTTTTGTCACTAAATTACTTAAAATAACCATAAATTGAAACTTAACATTAAGTTTTATTTAATTTTTCATTTATGTGTAATTTTTATGTTAGTATTAGGTTATTGTTTTTGGTTGAATCTTTATTACTTGTAATAAAAAAGTGATTTTGATTTCAGAAAACCACAGTTTATCAATTTTATTTAAAGTAATACTATGGGTTCTCTGTGGCGAATTTGTCATAACTAACAAAGTTAACGGCAACTTGTATTATGTTTTCTGTAAAAACATTAAAAACTTGATAACAATTTGCTGAGCGACAATTTTATTTGGTTTTTTTTATTTAACTTTGAGTCTTTTTTTTTACTGTTTAGAAGGAAATCTCCGGGTGTTGTAGCGATCGACGCGACAGTGCAGTGGCGCGTCAATAGTACAATTTCACTGTTGATGTGAGCTCTGTAGCTATTTTGCGGCGAATAGTCTCTGATGTAACTCAATTGTTAACGCTGCGAAATATTTTTTTTTTTTTTCAAATGTTATTTTCGTTTAGATTTTATTTTTGGTTATCAAAAGAGCTGGCTGACCTCTTACATGTTTTGTGCTGGCATTTGGTTTCATTGCGAATTATTATATGGAAATGAATGTCATCATTAAGTCTCTAGCCATATCCCACTCACGTGGGGTCGGTGCGGAAGGTTTTATAAACCTTAAGGTTTTGGCTTAATTTTTTACTGCCGTCACCCTGCCTAGCGGACCCTACATGCGAATTAATACTTTACTTTATATATTTACCTTTTTCTGTATTGTTCTTATTGCGCAAATAACAGATTAATGATACTATCTCTAAATGTTTTTAAATAATTAATAGGTATTTGTTCATTACATAATTGGACCACTTTGATTTGAACACAAACACAATTGTGGTATTTTTCTTTTTTCGTGTTTCCTCCCATTCAATTACAACAAATAATGTAAACTATGAGTTACGTGTGAACCTAGCTACGGCTCAGAGGGGTAAGCTGAAATCACAGACTTTGACTTAATGTTGAAAACATTCATTTAATACATTGTTCTTTGTTACAGCTGCTGGAACACCCGGCTATATACGACGATTATGTCGTGGAGAATGATTATTCTGTACACATTGGCGTGTATTGGTACGATTAAAAATGTTTTTTTTCATATTTTTAACTTTATCTAGTGTTTATAATTTAGGTTAAGTTTGCGATCCTACAAGGCCATGTTATATACATGATTGACATAAAATAGGAATTTGGCAGATCAGGCAAATCATTTACTTATTTGAATATTACGAATATTTAGAATAGAACAAACGCCATTTAATTTAAAAGGTAAATGAGAACATGTAATAATCATTTTATGTATCTTTCAGCAATACTTATCCATCTGGCGTTCTTGCTAATGCTACATAAACCCCTGGCTACGAGTGGCCCTAAACCACCAGTTCTGAAGCGGTTCCTCCTGTTCTTGATAAGTGTAAGTATATATACTTACTTAACTTTTTAAAATCTCTAGCGCATTGCTTACACGAACATCCGGTACCAAGTAAGCCAGTCGTACTATTGTAGTTGCGCTATAACATTAAAACTCCGTTTCCACAAAGCAACTAAAAAATCTTATTTATGAGTTATCGCACGACATGAAAATGTCATATATACATTGCTAGTCAGTTAGTGGATATCTATAAAATATAAGACAACAAATTCTGATTCTAATTCTCAATTGTACGTGCGGGTTACGTGTTTTTAAAAATGCATTTTACTGTGTTTACCTGTTATAAAGTTAAATTGTATGACTCAGGGCATAATGTTCGGAACAATGTGTACACTACACGTTGTTTTCCTGACAACGGACATAATCTCAGCAGAGGTTTATGAGAGCCTCTTCGCACTCACATCAACGGTTTCGGTAAGTATTATCTTACTAATATTATAAATGCGAATGTTTAGATGAATGGATGTTTGTTAGTACATATCTCCACAACAGCTGAATGGATCTCACTGAAACATGATAAATGTATAATATATTATCTTATATATTTAAACGAGCAATTCTTGTATATAATGTATATATATATATACGAGTATAATTGGAATCTCGGAATCGGCTCCAACGATTTTCATAAAATTTAGTATATAGGGGGTTTCGGGGGCGTTAAATCGATCTAGCTAGGATCTAATTAACTTAAACATAAAATTACTTTTTCTATCGGTAAGATCGAAAAATATTATTCATCATTTTATTAGTAATTCGTACTTAAATATAATTTCCAAAAAACACAATTTAAAAAAAAAATATCGAGCAATGCTCGGTCATCCAGGTACTATATATTTATAGTAGACAGTCTAGAACACATAGGCTACTAATTTTGATTTTTTTTTAAATCCCGCGCTATTAAAGTCTGGGCGACAGCTGCTAGTATAGTAGCTGTATTTAAAGTCTGAAATATCAACGCACAGTGGGCTGGGTAAGCTAATAAGTAATATCAGCGTGCGATAGAAGGGCTATCAATATGTTTAAACTAAAATGTAATTAAAACACTGTCCGAGTGTGGCGTGGGTTTCTGAGACTACAATTCCCGTTTGAAACCTATTTTTATCTCTATTTTGTCAAAGATGAAAGACATGGATGAAGGAAATTATTTTTATTAAATTGAAACGATGATATTATTTTTATAAATAAAACCAAGTGATCTTATAAGGGTTCCGTTTTTTTCCTTTCGAGTTACGGAACCCTAGAAAATAGCACAATATATCTACGTGTTAACATAACAATATACATAATCTTTCTGATTGCATATATCCAAGTAACGCTTTCTTATTAATAATTTTTCAGCATTTCGGATGGGTTGTTTTCACGACCTGGCAATTGAAAGTCATTCCTAGTATATTTGCACAACTAGGCCGGTTCGTTGCAAGAATCCGCGGCCAGGAACCTGCGCAATTCCAAGGTAAGTATTTAAAATAATTAAAAGATAATATTCCTAACTAGTACAAGATTGCATCATCTAATCTAAGCTCAGGCCGGTTATGACGTGCACCCAATGACCAATTCGATATACTTTCACTTTTTCTTATATATTAGTATATTATTATTTTTTTTGATTCTATCGGATTCAATATCTCTAAATTACGATCACAATTGAGTTATCGATTATTAATCTTTGTAGTTAACATGTCACGGAGATAATCAGTTATTTGAAATCAGGGCGTATCACTAGTAATTTAATAATTCTGTAGATTTCCATTGACGAAACATTAACATAAAAACATATCGTATTACCTTTATATTCTCAAAGAAACCAGATAGCATGTTCACAGGTGTTTGATATATGGGAGTTTACAGTGAGATATACAATGGCAATTTTAAAAATGAATTTTATTTCTTAGGGCTGCCTCCTAAACGCTCCAGGGCATCATACCGACGACGACAACAACGCAGGGCGAAACGTACAACCTCCGTCTAAATTGGAAAATTAAACCGACCTGGCAACTCTCGACTGGATTAGAAAAGTGTATACGATTCGAAATTTGAGTTGTTTTTTTCCATACAGATTTCTTAGTTCCTTGTATTGTATTATAGTAAGTAAATTCATTCCTATAAATTTTATAATCTTGCATTCAAAATCCTATTTTTTACTCAAAGAGATCCGCATAATGGGACTCTTTGATTTTCACAAAATTACAATCTAATAATAGTCTGATTCAGATGCCTTTTCTTCAATGTTGTGATATAAACTCAGAGTGTTTTTGAGATTTTACGGACCGTTAAATTCATGTTTGAATGTGTAGATTGAACATACTTAAGCTGTAGATTGAAGCAAAATATAAAAAAAATGTTAAAATTAACATAAAAAAAATTAAAAAATTAAAAAACCAAAAAAAATTTAGAATAATTATAAGTATTATATATATTTTGCAATTTTCTTTATACAGGATGTATCTTAGATGATTGAAACAAAGCTTTAGTCTATTGAAACTCAAATACTTCGGTCTTAAACGATAGATGTTGAAGTCTTGCGAGTCGACAAAGCTTTTATCCTTCACTATAGACGCATCCTGTAACATATATCTTCAATAATTTGTTAATTTCTTTCAATCATATTATATAATGTATATTAAAGTAATGGCTGACACAAAAATATATATAAATTATATGTATTGCAGTTTAATATAAGTCTATTATAGAAATGAATTAAATTTATTATTAATTTTTTAAACTTTATCAGCCAAATTTTGTTAAATTTCTCTATTGTATCTTGTATTCTGTTATTTTTTTTTATTTCTTATTAATATTATACTAGCATAAGAAAATAACATGTTCTGCATGTTTTTATATATTAACTATTATAATCATAGAAAATATTATTATCTCTGTAGTTGTGTAATGACGATATATATATTTTTTTTCAAAAAATATTGTATCGTAAATATTTTTTTTTTATTTAGAACTTTTTTTTTTACAAAAAATCATTCAACTGGCAGGCATTCAGGTTTTTTTTTAATACATTTATAAAAGTCGTAAAATTTATATAGATTTTTTTAATTTAATTTTCAAACTAATTTCTCTCATTATTCAAATGTAATTCTTATTTGATATCGTTTTTAAAATTATAATTAAATTTTTTATTAATCAATTTTAACTTAGTTAAGTACTCTTTTTAGTTTATAAGTTAAAATATGTTTAATGCAATCTTCTTTATTTATCCAATATTGTATAACATGAATATAATCTATTTTATAATAAGGCAATGATAGGAGAAAAGAAGTGTTTTGGAAGGGATATAGGAAAGAGGAACATCATATTTCTGTTTGTCCCTTCCTCTGTTTAAACTGGGGCAGCGGTTAACATCAGGTGATGCTAGCTCGTTTGTCAGCGTGTTTTAGAAATAATAACATACGGATAGATTGGATTTCTTCACGCCTTGCTGAATGAGGGTTTGGGAAAGAACGAATTTTGTAGCGATGGTTGTATAAGTAATATTGCAAATAGTCTATTTCTGTATTATTCAAAATAATATTATAAAAATATATTTAATCATTGTTAAAATGTAGATTTAGATATTAAGAGATGGATTATTAATTGTTTTTATTTTTAAGTTATTCGTTAAAATGAACTGATCTTTAGTTAAGCACAACATTTTAGGGAGTCTATGATTTTATAAGTTCGTGTAATTTTTTTTTATATTAATGTTGAATCTTGTATTTCTTTTATATTCATGATTTTTCTATTATCATTAAGCCCTGTTACTTTTGTACATTAATTTTAATTCGTGATTTTTTGTATTATTTTCAATTGCTGTAATTTTTTATTACTTTATTAAATTAATTTGCTCCCAATTTTCGTATTATTCAAAACCACTTTATATGAAAACAAAAAAAGAAACTTTAACAAGTGTCGATTGGATCCTAAAATAAATCCCAGTAACTTAAAAATTTAAAGTAAAAAAAAAATTATGTAATTTTATTAGAAAATTATTTAAAATACATTTTAATTCTACTTTCTTATCTAATTAGCTGGAATGTATTACTCTTAAATTTAACTTGATAACTTATATGTACTGATCAAATACATAATATTGTAACGTTGTATTTCTCGTAGGAGTTGTACACACAAACGCAAGCTTGAAAATACATGGCTTAAAGCCAATGGACGACGAGAACAAAATTAATTCGTTCCCCTCCATTGGCGATTGGTTTCATTCTTTTACGCCCTAGACGTACATACGAAGCGCTGAATATTATGTAAACGTATAATGATTGTACAATTAAAGCCTATATATTTTTAGAAAATTAAAATAAAAAAAAATCTTAAAGAATCCATAAAAATATATCACACAAAGTTACTACTAACTTATAAATATTCTTTGAAAAATTATATTCCGAACATAATCATCGCAATTAAAAGTGATGTTTTAAAATGCAAAAAATCATGTTTAATATGAATTTATTTATTTCAAAAATAAGATATTACTACTATATACACTATTAAACAATGGTAGAGACCAGCAAAAACATCTTGCACGAATAGAAGACAAAGAATATTTCTACTACCTATTATTCTTATGACACGGACTTCACGACTATTATCTTTTAAAGTCTGCCTAACTCTACTTACTTAGATAATTATGACATAACAATATAGTGTAGTTAGCTTTTTTCATTGGAACACAATTTAAATAGCGACTGTTGCTGTTTGAGATGAAGAAATAAATTTGACCTGATTTGATCGCTGCCAACGTCCACAAGATCGTGTAAGTATTAGAATATAGAATTGTAAGTAATTACCAAAAGAAAAACATGGTAAAAAAAGAATAAAGGTAAAGGAAAGGTGGCTAAGTCCCTTAATGATAGTTGCTATGATGTCTTTTGATGAAGATCAAAATGTCAAAAAGTTGTTTCTAATATGTCCTGTCAATAGTCACAGATTATAACAAAGATTTACCAATATGGTACCTTGCGAGAGAAGTTCACGATGAGAAATGGGCCATTAATTCAACTAACCTCTTTTTTCTCTTGCCCTGAGTTTACACCACCGAAAAACGTGTGCAAAACATATTGCTATCGCTTTTTTTACAAGGCTATAAGAAGGATAGCAATATGTTATAAAAACATGAGTTTCGACTGATAAAAGCAGTTATATGTTTAAAGAAGAATGCAATTTAACATATTCTAATTAAAAAGAAGGGTTTTCCATCCGCTCTTGCTAAAACAATCCATCAAAAACCAGACTTACAGATACTAATAAATTTTAAATCAATAACACACGTCAAGTCAAATCGAGACCATAAACAAGAGTTTATTTCATTTGTAATACATTACATATTAACTAAAAATAAAAAAAAACCTTAAAATATATTTATTAAAAAAAGTAATTTAATTTAATATCGAAGGAATTTGGGTAAAAAACATTTTTTTTTTGTCAAAGATGACATACAGATTAATAATGTATCAAATATCAAAGACAAGGATTTGCATCCGTGGGCGGGTGGAAGTAATGATTTCTGTATAGTGCCAGATTGCTCCCAGCCTGTACCCGGACAGTACGTTCGGAGCGCGCGAGACCCTTGGAACAAACAGAGTCAGTGTTAAGTCAGAGTTAAGTGATAATTAGTGGAAGACAACTTATCGTTGTCAAATTTATTGGTAAGTTCATAAAAATCTTATAAAATTTTAAATAAAATAAATTACATATTATTTTATAAAATTCAATTTATTTTTTAATTGTGTTAGTTTTATTTTTTGTAATGTTTTTTTAAAGATTATTTTAATTCTAATAATTCATTATGTTTTTTATTATACTATTATATTAATATTACAAAAGAAATTGACGACCGATTTCTTTAAATTTTCGCAATTAATTTATAATTATTGTTGGATTAATTTAATTTGGTACTCATTTAACGTTATGAAATTAAGTCACTAGAAATTTAATTTTGGAATTATAAAAGACATAAGACGTAATCTATAAATAGAAAATATTATGATGCTACATAAAGGCCGTGGAATTAACTTAAGCCGACCTGTTGCGCCTTTTTGTGTAAACAAATAAACACAAGGAAGGCAAATGAATTTCTTAACTTATGAATATGAATAAGAATGTTTTATATTTATGTTTTTTGAAAACAGTTTTTAATAGATTAGAGAATAATTAAACAGTGATTAAATTAGATTTCCTTGTTAATAGATTTTACTGAAGTTTGTTACACACCTTTCCAAATTAAAAAATAGCATTGTCCGATGACAAAGCTATTTTAAAATTAAATGTCGTAAATTCAAGATGGCCGCCATTACAAAATGGCGGACGTCTTTTTTCTTGCACCACCCACGCAACTTGGTCATTGTATAAAAGAGCTTGACAAGTACACTCTGAATAAATCCAAGATGGCTGAATTTTTAAAATAGAATGTAGGACTTATTATTATTTTATATTCTTTGTTTTGTTTTCTTAAGATTATAAATTCTTTGGAAATCTTTTATTTCAGATCAGACACGCTTGTATTTGCATAATAGTAGTAGACACGACACAAACACATACACACACATACACTTACACAAACACATACACTTACACAAACACATACACATACACATACACAAACACACAAACACCCACACAAACAAACACACACACACACACAAACACACAAACACACACACACACACACAAACACACACACACAAACACACACACACACACACACATACACAAACGCACGCGCACACACACACACACACATACGCTCGCATACACAAACACACACTCACACACACACACACACACATACGCTCACATACACAAACACATACACTCATACACACGTACACTCTCTCTCCCACAACCACACACTGATACACAGCCATACACACAAACACACACACACACGTACACACACACACATACACACACACATACTAGCATGCACAGCTTGATGGAAAAGCATGACAGCCTAGGTCATTCCTCCGAAGTATTGAAACTTATGTATATAACAAGCAATTATATTTAATACCTCTTTCTGCAAGTAAAAGTTAAATGTAAATGCATGAAATGTATTAAATTCATATACGCGTTATAATTTAGTTAACGTATTAATTTAAAATAGTTTTCTTAGGATTAATCGCGGTTAAATAACTGAATTATGAAATATTTCATTGCCATCTAAAGATTTTTCTTAACTATTTAGCGTTGTTTTTAAACGTCATATTAATCTGAAATGATAAGTCCATCAAAATAATTTTCCGAGATGTTTAGAGTGTTTTCCTTAAACTCCATTATATAGCATGCTCATAAGAGCATTGCCGAAGTTGACATTACTTCAAGTTCAATGCGCGTTACACATTGGGTGGTCGGTCGAGTTGGTAAGTCAGTAACCTTGGGAACGTCGGTCGTGAAGCGTGTCTCCAGTTGTATCCGCATCGCCTGAAATACGTGAAATAATTCTTGCATTTTTATCCCCGTTTCCTTAACCAATTGCATTGTGAATTTAAATAAAGTCGAAAATTAAGTAACATAAAAATGGAATAGAGTTTAAAAATAAATAAGTGAATTATAAGTTAAATGGATTATGTTCAAGTTTATGGGAATCAGCTTATAAGTAAGTTTTTGTATTTTGCAAAACGAATTTAATTAAAAATATAATGACAATTTAACAAAAATAATACAAGTATCTGTTATTAAAAAATTGACTGTTTAATTTTCTGAAATTATAGACCATAAATCGTGAATTGGGAATAATAATTTGTTAGAAATTTTTACTTTGTTACTATTATTACTAATAATTATAAATGCGGATGTATAGATGGATGGATGGATGGATGGATGGGTAAATGGATGGATAGATGTTTGAAGATATTTCCAGAACGGCTGAACGGATCTGGATGAAAATTAGCATAAATATAGAATATAGTCTGAAGGAACACATGGGCTACTAATTTTGTTTGCTTTTTTTTATTCAACCCGAACGGAGTCTGAATATTTACAATATAAAAATTCCGCATCAGAGACACAAGCATGGAATGCTTAAAAAACAGCTCTGCAATCCAATTCGGTCTTTAAAAAAAGAAATCCCCTTGGAAATATTTGCATTAATTCAAGAACATTTAATATTAAACGGTGTAATCTCAAAAAGCTTAAGTCAACAAACAGACTTTCGCTACTAAGTATTTAAATTTATATATTTGATCAACAAATAAAAATGAAAATAGAGTGGAATATAAAAATCGATATGAATTTCCTGGTATTGCTGATTTCCATGGGCGTCGTTGAACACCTCGGTGTTCTCGCTGCTCGTTTGCCCCCTTCTGTTATTAAAAAAAATGTAGTACATTAGAGAAGCACCAACAATTCAGTAGAACAATTTACTAGATGATTGTTCGAAATACGCGCTTAGTATAACATTAAAACATTTAATAAAAATAATTCCAATATACCTATTTAATGTTTTTTTACGGTTCCGTACCTCGAAAGGAAAAAAGCAGAACCCTTATACAACTTATACAAAGGAACACATTGTTGTCCGTCCATCTGTCTGTCAAGACTCTTTTTTTATAGTAACGCGTTAAGAGATATCAAGCTGGAATTTACTTCATAAATTTATTTTGCTGCTTCGCCTGGCTACAAAACGCTTTAAATACTAGGGAGGCATTTATGAGTTCTTATCAAAACTAACTCATTGGCATGTGTCATGAATAAAATTTGATTAAAACATAAATCATCTTTCTAAAATGAAAGGCACAAACATAGTATTTGTAAATTAAAGAGCAACTCAGACGCTAATTAAAAACATGTTTCATGTCAAATGGAATATCAAAACTTTTGCAAAGTAAATTATTTACAAAAGTTATTAACTTTAATTAAAATTATTTAATCTGGTTAAATCATTATGAGTCAGATATAAGGGTTAATTTTCCATAAAGCTTGAAATAGTTTGTTACATCTAATTTGACTTTTAATTTATTTACGATTCCATAAATGATTCTCTAATTAATTTCTTTGTCTTTTCTCTAATGTTTATAAAATTTTAAATCACAACAAGGGTGCAAAATAACAATAGGGGAGGAAAGTTTGTATTAGAATGTGTAAGGTTTATGAGGATGTTTTGTAAGTTTAATATGTTTTGTTGTAATCATTATTGATATTTAGTCCTGAGAAAGGACATGGGCTATTTTTTAACGCGAAAAAACGGTTCTAATGGGTTAAGGGGTGGGTGTGATTGTTTGGTAGTATCATCACATGAAACTTATTTTTTAGGCTGTTAATTTAATAAAATAAATATGACGTTCAATGTTTACAAAGTATTTAACCTCAGGTGAGCAAGATAACAATAGGGGATGAAAGTTAATTTTAGAATACATGAGGTTGAGGTGAATGTTTTGTGGTTTTAATATGTTTTGTTATTGTATTATCTGTTTTAGTAAAATGAATAGCCTAAATAATTAAAATGCTACACAAAGACAGTATTTCACGCGGACGAAGTCGTGGGTACAGCTAGTAATTTGTAATTTGAGAAAAAAAAATTTTGGGCTCCAGATTCGGTTGCCGCATCCCAAGCAGGTCTTGTATTTCCCTCGCGTCTTCGACGGGTTCGCGTGCTGGAACGTAAACACGACTGGAAACACTGCTTCTCAGGCTTGGCCGTATGTCATTGTCGGTTTTGTTAAAAGGAGTCATGCATATAAGAGGTATTATATAATTGTAAAAAATATACTTATGATTTCGTCATGATTAGTGAAAATATTAAGGTAAAGTTATAAAGTAGGTATCGCTTTTGCTTTACGATTAACATTTCAATTTCGCAATCGTTGCTGATTTTTTCTGTATGCATGTAACTATGATATTTTTGTATCTTATCTCTTTACTTAAGTGCCTCCAACGTGAAATATACTTTCTCGTTTAAGAAAGCTGGGAAGGGAAAGGCAACTAAAACTAGTACTCTGGAATGCTCACACATTAAACGAAATGTGGTATTGGTTCCACGTCACGCCTGTCTTTTGTTTAGTCGTGGTTTTTATCATAACAGTTTTTCTGAAACACAACGGCTATAGTAATCTGGATAGAAGGAAAATATTTGTTTACTATTAAATTGAAATTTCATAACAATGAGGCTTATGTAAATTTTGTTGTCGCGTGTAAACAAAAGAATTACTAGCAGACTTTTTTTTTTGTTAATTTACTAATATTTCTTGTACCATTCCAAATATGGTAGGATATGGTTAACGACAATAGTCTAATGGTGAGATTCGAGCTCTAGACCATACTATCGGAAATCCCTACCCTTAACCATTAGGCTATTGGCGCTTCAGAACTAACTAACTAATTGTATTAAAAATAGAGTGATCACAGAAAAAAAATAATATATACCTTTTGTTCAGCTGCACTCATTATAGGACATGCAACATGCATTCAGTCACAACTAACTCATCTCGCTCAGGCGCCCGATCCACGAGCACGGAAGACGAAGTATGTATATATATTATTACTTATCTTTAATTTAAACTGATACGGTTTCCTCCGTTTAAAATATAATCTGATTCCGATGATGCAATAACTGCGCTCCTATCCTATTATGCTTGCTTGAAGCTCCGAAAATCCTAGTAGGTTCATTCGTCAATAAAGTGTCACTTTTATTTATATTTACACTAGCAGTGGCCCGCGACGCCGTGCGCGCGGAATAAAAAAAAAACTTAATTAGTCTTCTTCCATATATGCCAAATTTCATCGAGATCTTTCAAACAAACATCCATCTATCTAAACATTCGCATTTATAATATTTGTAAAATTAATCCTCCGTCTCTTAATAGGCTACTAATTAAGTGTTTTTTAAATATCGCGCGGACGTATTCGCGGGCGACAGCTAGTTTTAAAATATGTATAATAACATGTTTTTATGATTGTTTTAGTTCCGGAAATATGTGAATGACGCCTACGTCTATCTGTATTCAATCTCCTCGTTTTGTGCCATCTTTACTATGGGCTTTTTGCGGTCCACGAGGTATTTACCATTTTTAAATACAGTCATCTTTTTAATTGTACTTTTTGAGTTATTTTTAATAATGCTTACTTTTTACTTTGACTTTAACGATAATAATGTTCACGATTGCTTCATGTCGGAAGTACTTTATGTTTAGGAAGGCATTTTAGTGTTTCAAAGTGTTTAACGTTAGTATATAGGTATATTATATGATATACAATAATACTCCTTATATAGTTGTGAGGGAATAATTAGTTTATATTAATTAGTCCTAATCTTTGTGTTCTTTCCATACCCGTACGTATAAAGAAAATTAGAAAATATAATTTGGTTAACTAGTAACTAAATTAGTAGTATATTTTTATTAACTAAAAATGGAAAAAAAATTAACATAAAAACTTAGCTCAATAAAAACAAAAAGCACTAAATACAAAAACCAAAAAGCGGAGAGTTTTCTTTCTTTCAAGCGTAATCATATCATTTTGTTTGAGAATATTTTTTGGATGTCGTTTCTTTTTTAATTTTTTTTTTACTTTTATCTAGGGTGCTGCAACTTACCCGGCTATATATACTCCTGCATCTATATTTATCCTATTTAGTTAACAACGTACTATGGATGTTATGGTACCGATTAGTCTTACAGGATGACAGAGGTTTAAAGCTGAGTGCCGTAAGTATTAAGTTTTATTATACAAGTTTATTTGTTACCTGACATACAGAGCGAGATTAAGTGCATTCGCTTCGAGGCAATACCATAGCGAACTTCAAAAATGTATAGAATGGCTATGTAGCGAATAAGCTGTAAATGCCTCCTAAGCTGTAAATGCCTCCTCAAGGCAAACACTGGCAATTCAGTCAAAAAAAATATGGAACGAATGCACTTTGTCTAGCCCCGCTGATCCCAATCATGAATTTAATATGGAATTTTTAGTACCACTGACCAGAATTATATTTATAATTTAAAAAAAAAACAGGATATTAAGCACTATAAAAATTGATCATAGACATTCATACTAAAAGACATCACTTTCTTATTTTAATTATAATTCCGTATTTTAATAAAATTTAAACAATTTTGAAATAACTGGTCATTTGTATAATTTTTAATACTTATAGAGGACAAGTTTTAACTAAATTTTCGTTATTGTAGTTGTCGTGTCAATTACTTCATGCAATGTCGATGTATGGCATGTTGTCAAGTTACATGTGGATGTTTGTGGAAGGGCTGCATTTGTACATATCTCGAAATTTTGTAAGTTTTATTTCAGATAATAATAACTTTTACATTTTACTTTACAACTTTTGTCTACTTTTTTAATTCTATTTTTTAATCATTAACTTAATGACACATTGGTAAAATATCATAATAAATTTATACAACAACGGCTAAACACTCACGTATGTTCATCCGGTGGCGGCATACGCGAGTGTTTTAGCCGTTTTGATCATTGTTGACACCAATTATACTTTGTGCTTATACTGGTTAGGGTTGTCGACAAAAAAAAATTAATAAATTTTGAAATGGCTTATTTATCTAATAATTTAGAATTAGAAAAAAAAAACTCGTTGTACATAAACACTTCAAGTAAATATTTAAACAAACTTTTCTACGTATAATTACAGACATAAGATATGATAAATTTCTCTGACTATAATAATTATTTACCTTATATGTAAAAAGTACTACATTACTAACTTTATAATGATATAAATTTTTCATTAGAATATGCGGTTTATTTGATAATATTTTAAAGGAGTGCGCGCGATGTCTGAAAATGAAAATGTATATTTGCTTGGGATGGGTCTCGCCAGCAATTAACGTACTTATATACGCCATAGTAAGAACTTGTTATGCAAATGAATCTGACAGGTAATTAAACACTTATAATAATTATTAATATATTTTTCTACTTTTCTGACTATACGTTTATTTTAAGACTTGTAGTACAAATTAAGATAGATTATAAATCCAAAAATAACATTTTCTATTTCTGAAGCCTTTTAAGTATTGCTTGCGATAAGCGAATGTAAATTGGTCTATGTTAATTAATTTTTATTTTCAATAATTCTGGGATTCATTAAATATTTAAATATAATAATCAAACTATTCATTTTTAAATGCTTTTCAATGCTAGTAATGAATTATATTGATTCAAAAATTATTCTGAATGAAATATGCATAAGTATATTGTATTGCAGTGCAGTAGTAGAACATTGAGGCGAATATTAATGCGAAATATTGATTTTTTTGTTATGGATTATTGTACTTCCTTTTGTTTTAGAATTAAAAACATCGTTGTTTAATAAATATCAAAATAACATGTGTATATTTGTCACCCCCTAAGGAATTCTGGTGGGTGAACAATGCTGTTGTTGCAATGCGAAGATCCTTTCCTCGTATTCATTAAACGAGACGGCGATGTAGTAGATACATGAACCTTGCCTGTTTCAAATTGTTAAATGAACAAGTTGAAAAAAGAATCGGCCGTTTTACGATGTTATTACATGCTGCTGTGCGAGCTCTACGTAACATTTACAACTGAGCGCGTAGCATGATTGCGAGAAAGTGTTCGTAGCGGCGTTGACATTTACAGTAGATTTGCACAGCAGTAAAGTACTGCGATTCAAACAAATATTGAAATATTTTTAGTTTTAGACTCTCTACTTGCGTCCCGTTAACGATTTGTTTTCATTTAATTGTATATTTTAGTACAATGGATGTATTTTCTTAGATGCTGGGTAGAGTATCATTTCGCGTTATGGATCATCGTCGCACCTATTATAATAACTCTGTTAATATCTATCGGTAAGTTTTATTTTATAGATAAAGACTGCAATTTTGAAATATTTAAGGTCAATGAACAATGGTTTTATATTTAATTAAAGATATTGTATAAAGTAGTCGGCATTTGAGTTGGCACTTACAGCAAATAATGGTTGAGTTCGGATTCTGTAGCGATCTCTTTGTCTTACAGTACTAGTTGAATATTAGACAGACCAAAGCAAATAAATTCCAGCTTGATACCCATACGCGCTCCTGAGAAAAAGATTCTTCGTAAACAGACGAACGGACAACAAAGTGATCCTATAAGGGTTCCCCTTGTTTCCTTTCGAGGTACGGAACCCTAAAAATAATGGTTTTACAACTCTATTTATTTTTAAGAAAAACGAGCTTAAGCATTACAAAACAAAAATCTCACTATTGCACTGTAAATGTCCATTTCGAATGCCGCATTTTTGTCTGTTCAATTTTTTTTAATATAGCCTGCGTTTTTTTGGATAAAAGTCCAGAGGGAGAAAATAGGACAAGAGCTGGGAAAATATTTCGTTTCGTTATTACCTTGGTAACGTATATAAATACATTAGCTACTAATAATCATATGTTGGAGGGTATCAAATTATAAGAAAAGTTACAAAAGTCAATGTTTATACAAAAAGAGAAGGTTTTTTTTTAGTATTTTTCCCAGTGTAGTTATCGAGCTGGCTATACACCATTTCCGTTTTTTCGTTGAATTTTGGGACACGCTGTATATATAGCATATATATAAATGTTTTATAACCATGATTCCAAAACGATACCTTAACTTTATGGCAAACAAACGTAAGACACGTTCAAAGCCACTATTATGCTCCGGATATTAAAAATAATATAAAACGACGAAAACATAAAAAACATATTTAAAAATCATTATCTAAAATCCTTGGTGTAATCAAATTATATCGCATTTGTGCACCCTGTATATAAAGTATGAGCGAGCTCACTAATTTGCTGTAAACATAAAAAATTAAACTTACCTACTGTTTTATTTAATAGCGTAGTACCAAAGTGTTTGGAAAAACCTGCAATGGGTTTATATATACTTTTATTGTAATGTGTATATTGTTCCTTGTTTATATAAATGAAATAAATAAAAAAATATATATTGAATACAAATGTTGTAATTTTATAGTTTATTTGAGTGAATAAGGCAAACTTAAATTATAATTTTTGTAAAATACTCCGAAATTAAGAATTTTTATCTAAACCAAGTGAATGATTAAATAACTAATGCAATTTTTTTAATTAACTCTTGCCATTTTACACGAAGAGTGTTTTTAAAGTTAAGGATTTGTTTTGGGACAGCTTATAGTAATTATTTTGGTGTTAAAGGAAGAAAGGTGTTGAAGGATAAGGTCATAACTTTTATATAACTCTAAATTTTATTACATTTTTCGATAGACCACAATATTTTAAAAACAAACCCAAAGCTTAGTTTTTTTTAATATTTGAACATTCCTTTTTGTTCTTAAGAAAGTATTTCGTAACGAAAAAAATTTTTTTAACAGTCACCATTTTTTATAATAGTTAGGGGCAAACGAGCAGCGGGAACGATGACGACCTCTGACTTTGTATAGGCCCTAACCTCTCAATAGGAACATATAAGGAGGTGATGATGGTGATATAAATTTTACTATTTCAGTTAATTAATTTGCTATATATTATTCAGATACCGCTGTTCGGAGTGCACTATGTACTGTTCCCGCCCACCAAAGCCCCAGAATCTGTATATGAGAAAGTCTATGATGTCGTTATTACAGTTATAACGAGCATGCAGGTAACGAATAACTTATCATAATAATGAAAACATTTGAATTATATTTCGTAAAATATAAGATAAATTTAAATTATATAGTACAAAATTTTTTTCTTAAACTGTTTTCTTTAATTTGTTTTTAGAATAACCCATAGATATGTTTGTTGAGTAAATTTCCTCATTGTTGTTATTTACATTACAAAATTAACATAGGTATAAAAGAAATTGTATCATACGTGTTCTTCCAGATTATGTTCCACATCTATGCCAAATTTCAGCGGGATCCGTTCAGTCGTTCTGGTGATACATTCAAACAAACATCCATCCAAACATTCGCATTAATAATATTAGTAAATGTACAAATACCTCCATACCTAATAAAAACCTGTGTTAACTTTGTATAGTGAAATGCTATCGTTGCCGATACAAACGGACCTCTTTAGACTTTTTTACTGATTATTTTTATATTTTTAAATTTAGAATGTTTAATTTTTTTTTCTTCCTTTTTATTATTCCAAAATGTGATTTGAAAATATATCTTCCTTATAATGTGTGCTAATCTTTTCTTTTCTCCCTTCTATTTTATAATATTATTATAATTATAATTTTTAACTTTCTTTCTGTTTTAAAAATTTGTCTTATAGCTGTCAAAATACATTAACCTCATGTTTTTTGGCTGAATATAACACTAACGGTACTTTTTTAGGGTATCATTACTTCTTTCTTCTTTTGGTACATGAACGATGACATCCAAATGGCCGTAAGGGAGAAATTCGGATTAGTGAATAACGAAGGGAACCAAGAAGAAGACATCGAAATGTCCGGTAAGACTTGCTAAAATTATTCCAGAAAATTTATTTTTTACCGTAAAATAAAAAGATCAATAGGTCTACGATTTACGATAATTATAAAAACAAAATTCATGCTTATAACGAAACGAAGACTACTCAAAGAACCACTGAACTTGGACTTTGTCTGCGGCGAATATAGCTACAATTCTATCTATCATTTTAAACGTGCAAAATAATTTTAATAACATAACAGAAATATAACAATTTTTTATATAAATCTATCGTATCAATTTCAGTGCATTACAAATTTTCAGACAATCTTACGCGTGCGCTCTGATTTGTTAAAATTAAGATCTACGCATGTTGCGTTTTCGTTGTTTATTTTTATTAATAATACTTTTCCAGTTGCAGCTGTGGCGGGTACCGAGACGAATGAGCCTGAAATCGCCGAATCATCTCATTAATTCAGCTCAGAAATCCACTGTCTTGACTTTTGTTTAAATACATTTTGTAGTCTCTTTCTTTTCAAGGAAGAAAACAATGAAATATGTATTAACACAAGTATCACGGCACTAAACTGCGGTTTAATTAATTCCTTTATTATAATACGTCATTTTTAACAATCTTGATGTCGTAAGTAGTATTTGATGATAGATTACTTCAAATAAGTATAGCGCTAAGCATTGACCTTACGATTCGTGGGTCTATATACTATAGTGTAATAATTAATAAAAATATTAATGTTTACTGTTAAAGCCTGACTAGAACATCAGAAAACCCGTAACCGGGACAGGGCTGTATTACGTATACGATATACGAAAAATTGTTATTAGTATTAATACACTTATTATAATAATTTCATTCTCAAATGTATTTAGATTTAGATGATGTAGTGTTTATGAAGATTAAATAAAGAAGTTTAAAAATTTTATTTTTTTTGCATGATTAACTTTTTTATCTCGATATCAAATTGGGTTGGAAAATCTTTATAAAGATGGTTCATGGAACGGGGTTACGTGGGATATTACCCTGTAAAACTAAAAAAAATAATTTCACTAACTTATCAACCATCTTCAAAAATGACGAAGCTAAGAGGAGAGTGACAGCCAATTCCCATATACAGAAATGATCGATCGAACTTTAAGTGTCAGATATTCAAATTATATTCTACTTTAATTTAATTTGGTAATGAATAAAATTTTGACCAAGACCACACTTAAAGCTAATGTGGTCACAAGATCGTACTCATTAGTTTAGTAAGTGTCCACTCTATTCATTCTTAGGTTTTAAATAGAACGCAAGTGTCACGGCACTAAACTGCGGTTAAATTAATTCCTTTATTAAAAATACGTCATTTTTAACAATCTTGATGTCGTAAGTAGTATTTGATGGTAGATTACTTCAAATAAGTATAGCGCTAAGCATTGACCTTACGATTCGTGGGTCTATATACTATAGTGTAATAATTAATAAAAATATTAATGTTTACTGTTAAAGCCTGACTAGAACATCAGAAAACCCGTAACCGGGACAGGGCTGTATTACGTATACGATATACGAAAAATTGTTATTAGTATTAATACACTTATTATAATAATTTCATTCTCAAATGTATTTAGATTTAGATGATGTAGTGTTTATGAAGATTGAATAAAGAAGTTTAAAAATTAATTTTGTTTTTTTTTTGCATTATTAACCTCTTTATCTCGATAACAAATTGGGTTGGAAAATCTTTATAAAGATGGTTCATGGAACGGGGCTACATGGGATATTAGCCTGTAAAACTAAAAAAAATAATTTCACTAACTTATCAACCATCTTTAAAAATGACGAAGCTAAGAGGAGAGTGACAGCCAATTCCCATATACAGAAATGATCGATCGAACTTTAAGTGTCAGATATTCAAATTATATTCTACTTTAATTTAATTTAGTAATGAATAAAATTTTGACCAAGACCACACTTAAAGCTAATGTGGTCACAAGATCGTACGCATTAGTTTACTAAGTGTCTACTCTATTCATTCTTAGGTTTTAAATAGAACGCCAGAGATGTCAGAGACGCCAGACACGCCAGAAACGCCACAGATGCTACAGACGCCACCGACGCCTTAGACTACTCTTATTAATTTTAATTAATAATGAATAATACAAAAAGTGTTAATTAATTCATAAATGATACGATTTATTTTACGAAAGTAAAACAACAAAGCGATATTAAGAAACTAACCTTTAATATTCCTAACGATTACAATCGTTTCTACATTACATCCACCATATTATCTCCAAAATGATTTAACGAATATCACTGAAATATGCAATTTTCGCATAGCCTGGAAAAAAACATAGGCTAATGATTAATCTTATTTTAATTCTGTAATCGTAATCACGGACGGGTGCTAGATAATAAAGAGAAGAACGCTGTCATAATTTTTGCAATAATAACGAATTAAAAGTTCACTTTGGTAAACTATAGCATAGCCTAAACTTCAAATCTATATATATATATATATATATATATATATATATATATATATATATATATATATATATATATATATATATATAGACAGATTAGAGATCAAATTATATATATATTAGCGGACCCGACAGACGTTGTCCTGTCTACACGTCTTTAATTTGAAAATTTGACACTGCGATGGTAGCGCCGTCTGTCGGATCCAATGTAAAACATTCCAAAATCAATAACTACTAATAAATTAAAAATTAATTAAAAAACATTGTCCAGCAGACAAAATTGTGAATCTAAACCATTCCCAGATCCCCTTGAACACACACAAAAAATTTCATCAAAATCGGTCCAGTCGTTTGAGAAAAGTTCAGTAACATACACACTCACAGAAGAATTATATATATAAAGATGTATATATATATGCTACACTAAAAACCTTTTGGATCACCTCAATAAATACAATTTAAGCGTGAGCTTGCACAAAACTAAATTGCATCGATCCTTATATTTATTCCAATTAAAGGTAATATATATTATTAAGTAAATAAATGACGAGTAGACAGAATATAAAGTTCATAATAGTTATGGGAGCTATTTACATTTTCGTAGAATAGAGTAATACGCCAATAACGTCTTCTAGACAGTAGATATCTCGTTAGTGTATGTGACCGATCGATTGCGAACTATAACTGTTTATAATCTTTCGGGACAAAATCGTTACCTGACGATATAAACCGCTAAAACTTTAAAATCAATACTTCACTTTCTCTAATATCTCTAAAAATGAAAAACATTTTGTAGCATAAAGCACGACTTTATGGATTTTTTGTTAATTTCTGCCTGACCACCCTCTTCAAATTGTGACTAACCGTGGGTTTCCGATCAACATCATCAAATGTTTACATAAAATTTATAGTCATCCCTGTCAAAAATATGAATTAAACGGGGTCGCAGAATCCTACAATAATATAAGTCGTTAAATTGTTGCATTACTAATCCAAATAATATAATAAATATAAGGTGTCAAAGTCAACACTCTTACTGTGACATGTAAGAACAAGTCAAAGGTGTTTCAATTTTGACTATAGAGAAACGGACTAGACAAAAAGTCGTCATTGTGCTTAATTTTGCTACATTTCGCTGAAGGTGAGGTAAACATAAAATCACAGATATGCATATCATGCTGACACATGGATTCAAAACGTCGTTACGAACGCATACTGACTATCATTTAGGCAAACAGAACGAACACACAAGCAAACAAGTTTATAACTTTGTTCGTTTTTATTTAGCAGAGGGTAATGCGTAGGCTTGGCAGGTCCTGTCTCTTAAAAGTCAAAGATTACCGATCAAAACAGATCAGTGACGTAACTCCTACGTATGTATCTTGAATTGGTCCGCTGACGCGTTAATTTTAATTGGTGGAAGTCGTGTCACCTTCAATACATATAGACGTGTAACATAAGATCAAATTTTATTATAACCGTGACAATCTTAAGCGTAAATTTAAATGGAAATAAAATAGATATTTAATCTTCAAAGGAAAAATTTTAAAAATTTAATAATCCAGAAGACGGTGCACGGGCATATTAAATGCACGATAAGTAAATTTATTAGCGACTCGATCTAGCTTCGCTTCACTAGATTAGTTCAAAGATATTGCCATATAACAAAGGAGATATTATAAGATTCCAACTTTATG